CTGGACCTCGCGCGAACATATTCGGCGAATGCTATTTTTGGCATTGCCGACGAAGAGGAGAAGAGAGGGCCGGGTATGATCCTCCGTGCCTGCGAAGCCGTTTGCCGAGGCGAAGCCGCCGAGGGGGTCTGTTCCTTGTGCCGCGGCTGGTGCCTCGGCCCGCCTCCTTCGCCGAAATTCGCAGCCGCGGAAACGCATCCGTGTGCGGTGGCGGTGTCGTCGAGGGCTTCGGGCTCCTATTAATACGCCGTGATCCTCTTCGGAGTCTCGCGGACGATTAATAATTTGCTCGGGCTCATTCTTAAAGTCGTCGTTTTATTTATATTTACGAGTCGTGTGAGTCATTTGTGAGCGCACCGCTGGCGCTTTTTTCTCACTCTCCTCGGGCTTATCACGAGCGTTGGTCGCTGCCAAAGTAAAGACAAATCTAACATTTCGCGCCGTTTAAATGCCAACTTTTGAATCGCGTTGGCTTTGAACGTTGCGTTTGAGAATGACGGAGGGTAAGGCGATAGGCGCGCGGGCTCTCCGGCTTCCTTCAATGAAAATATGCTTTTCACCTAGACCTTGACTGATGCCCGTCTCCTTTCCCTCCTCCTACCTTTTCACAATTTCCCTTTTCACGTTCTCGCTGAATTGGTAGTTACGTTGTAAAGAATTCCGGCGGGGCGCCAATAGCCGACGTTTCCGATAAGTTGGCGTTAAATTTTTCACGTCGACGCTTCGACGCTCGAGGCTCGAGGCTCGAGGCTCGCTGTGTGCGTCACTGTAGGCGCAATTGGCCACTAAATTTCCTATTACATAACCATCATAAATAAAAAGCAAATTGCGACGGGCTTCTATTCTAATTTGTAATTCTTTACTCCGCGCGACATTATAAGATTACGATTAAGCTCGTAATTTTACCTCGTATGTTTCGCTTATTCAAATGAATCGAAGCCACGTCCGTTTGGCCTCGTAGCGGCTCTTCAGTATCTTATCGCATCCTTAATGAAAGCAATAAAAATAACGTGTTTAGGACCTGATCTTTCGAAGACGCGAAATAAAAGGAAAAGTTCAGTTTTCGAACGTTAAAGCGACGATTCGAGGTCGTTAATTTGAAAACGTTCGTTGGTACGTTGACACGAGATTTTCACGAAGTCTTGAAAATCTCGAATACATTCCTGCCGCTACGTTTATCCAATTATAACGAATGCTTATCGACGCGACGGTTAATTTGATTCGAAAGATCGTAGCTCCTCCCCCTCCCCCTCCCCCACCCCACACCACCCATCCCCACATCACCCGTACCTGGCGATGAAGTTGGCCGCGTTAAATTGCAAATCGAGCGGCATCTCGAAGTTAAAGAAGCTAAAATTCATTGGAGGAAAAAATGAGGCGTATCGCCTAAGCGTCTTCTCGACGGATAATTTTTGCCAGCAGCTTTAAAAAGATTATTTATAAGTGTGTCTGTGTGCATTGTCCTCTCTTAAAATTAGAAAAAGAGAAGCATGAATTATTTGGATAGGTAGTAAATGAGCGTATGCGAATGCGAGTCTCGCTTTTCGTTCAACAACAAACAGCGTCGCTGGCTAATAACGTTAACTGCGTATTTAATCGTCGAAAACAAAATAACAGGTGGAGGAATGTGGCAGGCGGCTTGCATTTGGCTAAAATAATCTTTAATATTATTCGGTGGCGCGTAATGACGCCAGGGCAATTGAGATTGAGAGTCCGAGCTGGAGAGTGGGGAGTCGGGAGAGTCGGGCGATGAGGAGGAGGAGGAGATGGAGGTGTAGGGGAAGGGATGTGATGCGATCCGATGTGACGTTGGAAGCTGAGAGTGTGGAAAGAGGCGAGAGTGCTATTATCAGTCGACGTTTGCGCAATGAATATCGCAAAAATATCTGTCGATACCTCATTAGCGGCCTTAATTCCCGTTGATTGGCGGTTTCAGAGGCGGCAGCGTTCACCCGGCAGATGCTATTAACAATAAGATCCGGGGGCGAGTGGGCTTGGCAAATGGTCAGGGGTAAAGAATCACGCGGCTTCCGCCGTGGAGCGTCGAGCGGAAAGAGAAAGAGCGGCACGTCGGCGAAGGAAACGATTGTCGACCGGCTTTAATTGACACGGCGGGCGCGACGCCGAGATTGCTAGACGTGCACATACGCAGTAGTAGCAGCAGCAGCAGCAGCAGCAGCAGCAGAAAAAGAAACAGTAACAACATCAGCAACAGCAACAACAACGACGACGACGGCGGCGGCGATAATCTCGCGCGCATGTTTTGACTGAATTGATAGATAACAGCTGACCTCTTTACAGGACGGGACACGACGAGCTTCTGGCCGAACTCTTCCTCTTTCTCCCTCTCTCTCTCTCTCTCTCTCTCTCTCTCTCTCTCTCTCTCTGTTCATCATTAATAGTGTCATTTGCTTTTGCGTAGTTCGGCAAACGCCAACTTCTTTATCGAATTTTCAATAATTTGGAGGCGCGTGGAGACCTCTCGAGAAAAGCTTCTCGAAGGCGACCGGTGGACGTGAGTATGAGGGCCACGGCGGCAAGGGAGCGGGCGGGGGGATGGGGAGGGGGGGGAGCGAGAATAGGATAAACCGTGTTGAGCGGGGGTGGTGGGCGAGGGGGGTCGGGGCGAGAGGAACACGAGGGCCATGGACGTGAGTATGAGGGCCACGGCGGCAAGGGAGCGGGCGGGGGGATGGGGAGGGGGGGGAGCGAGAATAGGATAAACCGTGTTGAGCGGGGGTGGTGGGCGAGGGGGGTCGGTGCGAGAGGAACACGAGGGCCAGAGAGCGAGAGAGTCAGCAAGGGGAGGAGGGAGAGAAAGAGCGAGAGAGAAGCGCGTAAAAATCCGCTTGGCTCCGAGCTGGCTGGCATCGCTGCCGCGGCAGACAATATGGCGCCGGTACTCGCTCTCCCACTCGTAGCCGAGATATCCTCCGTCTCTTTCGCACCGGCTCTCGGAGGCGCGTCGCCGCTGCGGCGGTACGGCGGAATGACGTTTCTTCTCGCCTGTGCTGACAATATAGG